CTTCCATTCTCTTGCTGCTTTCCCTTCAATTGGTCATGTGATCAAAATATGGATGGTTGGCAACTGGCCTATATTTATGATGGTTGCAGTGTCCCAGGGTCATGTGATTATTTTTAGCAATCTTTTGACAAGCAAAGTCAATGGGGAAGCCACATTCATTTAACAACTGTGTTCCTAACTTAATAACTGCAGTGATTCACTTAACAACTGCAGCAAGGTCATAAAATGAGTGCAACTCACTTAACAACTGCCTTGCTTAGAAAACAGAAATGTTGGGCTCAGTCGTGGTCATAAGTTGAGGACTACCTGTAGTTGTGGAATTCCTTTTGTTGGATGGTTCTATCTTCTGGAGTCTAGAGTCTGATCCTGCATATCAGATATTTACATTACGATTCATAACAGTAGCAAAATTACAGTTATGAAGTAGCAACAAAAATACTTTTATGGTTGGGGGTCACCACAACATGAGGAACTGTATTAAAGGATCGCGGCATTAGGAAGGTTGAGAACCACTGCATTAGATGGTAATATTTAAAGAAAGAGACTGGAGCATAGCTGTTCTATGCAACTTAGTGGAATGGGCAGATACCGTCAGGGAGAAGTATTCACACATATAGCTTAGTCCCATGCCATGTAAAGCTTTAAAAGTGATAACCAGCACCTTAATTGGGTCCAAAAAGAGTCAAAGACAATGCAGCTCATGCAATAATGGGATGTCATGTATAAAATGGGATACCCAACACAGCATGTACCACTGCATTCTGCATCACTTCTAATTTCTAAAAAGTCTTCAAGGGTAGCCCCAATACAGATTGGAGATACTGTAAGGAGATGAATCACTGTAAAATGGTGCCTCCTAAAACCCTAAGTTAGAGCAGAAACATACCATCAAAAGCCACCAAGAGATCTAGGAGAGCCAGGACAGCTATATCACCTCTGTTCCAGCTCCCCCAAAGGTTATCCACAAGTGCAACTAATATTTATGTATGTATGTATGTATGCATGCATGCATGTATGCCAAATTTAGAAAACCTCACAGAGTGATTCTGGTCAGTGTATAAGTAAAATCTAAAACATAAAAGCTACATATAATTGTATTAAAAAGATGGGAAAGGCACTAACCAGTCCCATGGCTGTGTAGTCTTGTATGAGCCCCAAGGATGTCAGCAGAGTCTGATCTTCAGATATTTCAACGCATGAACTTGCGTTGCCTTGTGGGGGGGGGGATGTTCTAGACGGCAGAGACAACTTCAAAGAAGGCTCTGCTCCTGGACCTTGCAAGTCAAAACTTTTTAACCATTGGGGTCTACAATATATCTTCCCTGACTGAACAGGTGGGATTGGACAAAGATGGTTCCACATAAGGTTTTCAAAGTCATAACCCACATCACCCATACTACCTCTTTGCTGTATTCTAGCTTGAACTCAGATTGAAAACAGTCCTGATAATTCAATGTACATTTATAGAGGTTATTTTTCTTGTCTTGTCCATTTTGGAGTGTGACCTCTCTGCTACACATTTTTTTCACATGTATGCACATTTAAGTGCATTACTCCACATATTTTGTGGTGGGGAAGAAATTTCCAAAATCAATTTCAGCTGGAATTGGCAACTTGTGACTTATATTTGTGTCTGTATGTTTATATTTATTCTTCCTTGGGATTCTTTTATTTTTTGATAAAGAGAATAACTGTTTTCCTATCAGTAACCTCAAATTGATTATTTCTGATTAAGTCACCAGTAGACTGACAACAGACGCATATTTCAGCAAATATAACAGAATAGTCCAGAATGAGATAATAGTCTCATTCCCAATTATTTATATTGCTAGAAAAACAATATAATCTGAATCAATATTTTAATAAATTATATTTCTGATATTGCCTGATCTAATTTACTACTAATTTTGCTGATTAGTTCTAGTCTCACGGGAATGAGGCAAAATCATTATTTTCAGTCAACATTTATAAACAATTTGATCAATTATGAATGTTGGCAAACAATATTTAGCTTCAAAACAATTTTTAAAAATATCACTTTTCAAACATAATTTGCAATCCCATAACAAAGCTGAAAAAAGTCTTCTTCCTATGTAAATTCTTTAATAAAGTTGCATAACTTGAGATACCAGGGCCACACTCAAACCTAAATACAGGGATACCTTGCTTAATGACCAGCACATTGAGCACAATTAAGACAGCAACTCTGTCACTAAGCAATGCAGTCATTAAGCAAAATATCATGTGATCACAACAGACATTTGACCTCATTTCCACCATGGTTGCTAAGCAAGATATTATGTGAGCACAAGTCGCAATTTTACTACAAGCTTCTCTACTGATAGTCAGAAGCTGGCAATCATGTGACTATGAGATAACTGCAACACTTGTAAAGTGCCTGAATTTCAATCACATGACTGCAGATATGCTGCAATAAGTGTGAGGACCAGTTGTAGTTATTTTTTCAGCATCCCGACATAAGCTTGAAGAGTCAGTGTACAGGGCAGTTGGTTAAGAGAAAGTTACTGTAACTTAAACACAATTTAAGACAAATAATTTCAAAGGTTATTAGCAAACTGTAAGTTTAAATGCAATTATCCAAACTGCGTTCCAAAGCAGTTCACAATTAGTGCACCAAACAAACTAGGCAAAGAGTCTCCTGGCCATGTTATTCCTGCAGGAACTGTAAACCTAGAAGGAACCACAAATTTGCATATGCTTTTTTAGAACTACAGTTGGAAGTGACATAGAGCCAGATGAGCGCTGGTAAATCCATAACTTTATTGTAGTGTTTCATCTCATCTAATTTCTCAGAGTTATCAGACTAAGAGTGCCAAAGAATCCCCTGCTTATTAGTTCAGGGTATAGCTATGCAACTTAGTATCATTAACATATGAGTGATCCTTCACTGTAAACCAGTGGATGATTACATGAGTAATTTCAATAATAAGGTGCTACTACTCAAATCTATTTCTCCATAAAAATTTCAGTAAAATTTCTTCTGAATAGCCACCTAAAATCTGTAAGGTTTGTGAAATGAGTGTTCATAACAGTAAATCTAGATAAGATGAAAGTGCTCATTGTGTAAGTGAAAGTAGATCTCCTTATTCTGGATTGGATCATAATTTGGAGCAGCTTTCAGATCCAAATTTGCTTCTGATTTCTCAGTGGGGAATAGGAGCATCTACTATCACATTGCTACATCAACTGCATCATTTTTAGAAAAATCACATTGGTAAAATCCAGGCTACATAACCCTAATATGCTCTTGAACTATGTACAAAATAAACACTTTTGCAAATGATGTTAGCACAAGTTAATCACTGTTTAACGCGCTGATTTAGGCACATCCTCTGAAAGGCTTGCACACGCTCCTGTATGTCAAAGACTACCCTAGTTGTCTTTGTGTACGCATGCACAGATAGCACTTGCACAAGCCCATCTACTTAAACCTTTTGAGTTGGAATGTTTTGCCTCCACTAATATACTTTGTGTAAACATACTTTTTAAATGCTTTACACTTTTTAAATATGTTCTACATGGAACTACCTCCAAATAACAATGGTGTTCAAAAAGACAATTATACAGTATCTATGATAAAAGCATTACATTAACTGCAGAATTATTGTTAAACAAATTGTTGCATACAGTTAAGTTCAATATTATCTCAGAGAGCACTTTGTCCTTTTTAATCCAGCCCCTTTCATGGTTCATTGAGGTGACTTGAAGGCTTCTACCTATAGTTTCCATTGGCTCATCAGATGACAAGTAATTAAACCTTCTTTGTAGCTCCCGAGATCCCAAAATAACTCTGTTGTTCTGATGAACTGATACTGTCCCAGCTTTTAAAAGGCCTTAAAATATAATTTTCTAAACTAGCTTAAATTGCTGACTGATTAAATTTTAATGCTTTAGTTTTACTTTTAAGATATTATAAATGACTGCATAAAATGCCTAACAAATATGTTTTAAATACATGAATATCAACAAGTCTTAAAGTGGCCCACATGCAGTTGCAGTTTCAATGAAGTCATATTTATATAGCTCAGATGGCCCTTTGCATTCCAATACATATCATGTTCTTTATTTCAAAATCTTCTGTATTTTCTATACACAGCTGACACTGACATTTTAATCTATAAAATGTTATACTTACAGTAAAAATTGCCTATGATAATCTACCATACTAATACATTGCAACCCCTCATTCTAGCTGATATGCTTCATCTCTTATACATGAATACTGAATTAGAATGTTTTCTCACGCATTATTGTTTATCCAATTTTCTGGCACTAATAGCAGTAAACTACTGATTACCATTTCATTTATAAATGAAACTCACTTCCCCACCCAGTAAGTCACTATTAAAAGACCCACTCCCTGCATCTCCTATAATATCAGACTGCCAGTGCAAGGACTATGCACTAATATAGCACTGGGTTTCTTTTCATCTATAAGTTTTGCAATGACAAATATAGGATTGGAAGGACAGGATTCTTAAGAACCTATTGTACTTTGTTTTCAAAATCTGTTTCTCAAGGCATAGCAATATCACTATTCCCATTAATATGTTATAGTTTTTCATTCCAATAACATAATACGTATCTCCAACCTCAAATCACTTTATAATAACAATGTGGATCAGTTTCATAAAGCAATGTTTTAGAGATTTGTGTGTTCTTTTTTAGGAATAGTTTTATGTAGCCGATTAAAGTATTGATTCAACGTGCACAGGAATACTGTATATATATGCTATAAGTTCACACAAATCGCTCGTCATACGTATCCTGGAACCTTATTTCTTCCTTTCACATCAATATAAAACGGTATGGAAATGGTGGGAGGGGGAAGAAGAATCAAGGACGATGACAGAATCCCTTTCCCCTCAACCTCGCATAGGTCAGTGTGGCACACCCATCCAGCGTTCAACTTCCTTCCTTCCTCTTCCTAGGGCGTCAGCCGAAATGAATCCCAAATTGTTTATTTCCTCCTCACTCACCTACACCGGGCTTGGGCTCTGTCCAACCACCCTTCGAGGAGCGGCAACTTCGACTTCTTCCCGTCCTGTCCCGAAGTTTGGGGGAGGGGATGCGAAGCAGAGGTGGGGGGGGGAGTCTTTACTGCCTGCCTCACCACATTTCCATAAGGAGCGGCTCACTACGCCTTCCTCAGATACAAGCCAAGGGGAGGTGCTCTGCTGATGGGACGGTGGCGGCAGCGATGGCGGCAGCTAGGCGCTCCCCTCTCGCCTTCAGTCATTGATCCACTCTGCTCCTCACAAAACAACCAACACAGCAGGAGAACGAGAGAAGCAAAGGACGAGCACGCGCCGCACGCCACCCGCTTGCACGCGCGACTCCCCAATGAGCGAAGTGATGGGGGTTGGCACCGCCTCGCGCTTCTTTAGATCTGCGCGCGCATGCACAGTTGCGCACGCGCCACGCGTTTGCCAAGTCAGACTGTATGTCCTACGGAGGGTGGCGTGCTTCACTTTCTCGCCCTCTGTCTTAAGAAGGAGGGGGAGCTGTAGCCCTCACACAGGTGCTGGGTTGGGCTAGCATCAACAACGTTCACTCTCCACGTTCTATCCTTGAACAATAGGCGGCGCGCAGGGGCGCTTCTAGAGTTAGTTCCGCTTTTTTCACACGTTTTTCCTATTCGCGGCACGCCCCTATCTCTCAAGGAATTTCCATAAGGAAAGGGAAAAGCTTACTATTAATAGCAATTGAAGGTGAGGCTATGCAATATTAAAGATATATGTTATTCACACATTTATTTTCCATTATAGAATTTGCTATTTAATATAGCGAAATAGGGTCTGAAGTGCAACGTCCATTTGTAGGAAAGATGCAATAATGCCAAAATTTAAGGAGAAAATAGGCAAGTACTTTCGATTGTACCTCTTGTCTGTGTACTGCTGTGAAAGATGGACATCGAGAAGGGAGATAGAAACCTTCCAATTATGGATCTGAAGATGGTTATTAAAAATACCATGGATGTAAGATTAAATCAGTCCTGAACTAAATGCTAATTTTTGTTCCTTTGAAGTTATCAACAAGAAGAAATTCTCGCCTTTGGGATATGTGATGAAAACAACTGACAGCAAAAAAAGGACTGGAAATGAACTGGAGGACTAGAAAAAGAACTGCCTGGCAAAGTTGAGGGAAGTAGAAAGGGGGGGAAAGGAGATAAAATTATTGTTAATTTAATAATAATAATAATAAAAAGTTGGAGGGGACCTTGGAGGTAATCTAGTCCAACCCCATGCTTAGGCAGGAAACCCTATAATAGTGATGGTGAACCTTTTAGAGACTGAGTGTCCAAACCGCAACCCAAAACCCACTTATTTATCGCAAAGTGCCAGGGCCTCATCAGCATTGTGGTGCCGGGGGAGGGAGGGGGGGCAGGGAGGCACTTCTGAGTGCCACCTCTGGCACGCAAAAAATGGAGTTGCAAAAATGGGCCACTGTGCTGCAAGGTGCAAAAACGGCCGCCCCTGCATTGCGGGGTGCAGATACAAGGCGCTGCACCACGTAAGAATAGGGCAGGACTAGTAATTATCATGCAGACACTAGCCCTGCCCCATTTGCAGCAGGTCCTTGCTCGCGGCCCCATGCACGTATGCATGTATGTAAAATGCTTTCCCCCCTCCCTTTTCTTCCAGTCCACCAATGGACAATGGTTGGTGACCTCTGCTCTATCATCTTTACTCGAGTTTGCTAGTCAGCCACTTTGCCTCCTTTGTGCTGGGCAGGGCTCCTGCTCCGGGCGGCGGAGGCAGCCTGATGGACCTGCTGCTGGCGGAGGTGTGCCCATGCCAACAGGGCTCTGAGTGCCGCTTCTGGCATGCATGCCATAGGTTCACCACCACTGCCCTATACCATTTCAGACAAATGGCTGGCTAGTCTCTTCTTAAAAACTTCTAGTGTTGGAGCATTCACAGCTTCTGGAGGCAACTTGTTACACTGATTAATTGTTCTAACTGTTAGGAAATTTCTCCTTAGTTCTAGATTGCTTCTCTTTGGTTAGTTTCCACCCATTACTTCTTGTCTTGCCTTCTGGTGCTTTGGAAAATAGCTTGACTCCCTCTTCTTTGTGGCTATTGAACACTGCTATTATGTCACCCCTTGACCTTCTCTTCATTAGACTAGACATACTCAATTCCAGCAACCGTTCCTTGTATGTTTTAGCATCCAGTCCTCTAATCATCTTTGTTGCTCTTCTCTGTACTTTTTCTAGAGTCTCAACATCTTTTTTTATATCATGGTAACCAAAATTGGATGCAGTATTCCAAGTGTGGCCTTACCAAGGCATTGTAAAGTGGTATTAATACTTCATGTAATCTTGATTCTATCCCTCTGTTAGTGCAGCCTAGCACTGTGTTGGCTTTTTTGGCAGCTGCAGCACACTGCTGGCTCATATTTCAGTGATTGTCCACTAGGACTCTGAGATCTCTGTCACAGTTACTACTGTTGAGCAAAATACCACCTATATCAGGAGCGTCAAACTCAATTTCACTTAGGGCTGCATCAGCATTATGGTTGCCCTCGGGGCCGGGTGGGTGTGGCCAGGGTGGGTGCGGCCTACTGGGTGGGCATGGATGGAGTGGGTGTGGCCTACTGGGTGGGTGTGGTCAGATCTACATCATATGTGTCAAGGGTGCCCGTGGTGGCCTGGGTAGGAGTGGGACAGATCTGAGGGTCTATGGCAGAAGGGGGTGGGACCAGGGCAAGTGCCAAGGCATGGTCCTCTGGAGGAGCCTCACGGTTGCTCTCGGGGGGATCAATGGTGGTGTGGGCTACCCGGAGCCCTGGGAAGCAGAGGTCAAATGCCCAGCCTGGCCCTCGAGCACTTGCTGCACCAAGCCCAGCCCCACTTCCCCAAGGGGGCGCCCAGCTGCAATTACCTCCTTCTCAAGGCTGCTGCTGCTGTGCTTGCTCTCCTTAGCCAGGTTGCTCATGATGGATACAAGGGCAAAGTCAGAGGGAGGCCCATTCCCTCTCCATGGGAGGAGACCTGGGTTTGTATTCAAAGCTTCCTTAGCAATAGGATGGGAGACCCCCAGGATAGGCCAGGAGGAGGGGGCAAGGGCAGCAGGGCAGGACTAAGGGAGGACTTCCCTCAGACCCTCCCTTTCCTTCTTTCTTAAGTACAGAGTGGTGGGAAAATATTTGAGATGAGGGAGAGAGAAAAACAGGCAAGAAATGCAGCTGGGGAGGTGTCACTTCCCCAGCATGCACCCAGGGGGTGGGGCCGACGCGGTAGGGGCCGGTTCCTCGCTGTTTCCAGACGGCCTTGTGGAGCTAATATTGAATGCATTTCAGCACAGATGGCCACCACAAAATTGTACATTGGATCCCAGCCAGCCTGGGCCAGGGCCGAGGCAGCGGTGGCCATTCCCTTACTGTTTTTCAGAATGGCTTTGAGAGCCACATGAAACCACTTCACAGGCCGCATCCGGCCCCCGGGCCTTGTGTTTGATATGTCTGCCTATATACTATACCTGTGCATTTGGTTTTTCTTGCCTAAATATAGAACCTCACTTTTTTCACCATTGAATTTCATTTTGTTAGATAGGGCCCAGTGTTCAAGTCTGTCAAGATCTTCCTGTATCTTAAGCCTATCTTCTGAAGTGTTGGTTATATCTGCCAGCTTGGTGTCATCTGCAAATTTGATGAGTTCCCCATCTATCCCCTCATCTAAATCGTTGATGAAGATGTTGAAGAGCACTGCTCCCAGAACAGAGTCCTGGGGCACCCCGCTACACACTTCCCTCCATGTAGATGCAGTTCCATTGAGGACTGCACACTGAGTTCGGCCAGTCAGCCAGCTATGAATCCATTTGGTGGTGATGCTGTCTAACCCACATTTTTCTATGTTATCAAGTAGTAGATTGTGGTCTATTTTATCAAATGCCTTATTGAAATCCAATTAAATTATATCCACAGCATTCCTCTGGTCCACTAATTTTGTCAACTGGTCAAAGAATGCAATAAGATTTGTCTGGCATGATCTATTTTTGACAAACCCATGTGGATGGATAGAATCAAAGAACTTATAGGACTGTTTTTGGGAGAGGTACAGGTTAATATTAAAGACTGATCAAATGGTTAGCATTTATTCAGTCAGTAAGCAGGACTCATCTGACTCAATAGCATTTGCCCAACCTCTTATCCATGTTAGATCTGATCTTCCATTATTATGTAAACCTAACTAGAAGAAGTTGAGATCTATATATAGTTCTGCGTTCTAAATAACACAAAATATAATACTGTATATTTCCATCTGGATTTTAAATTACACACTCCAAGAACTTAAAACCCCAAAAGTTGGCATAAGCATGTTTGTCTGCAGTATATCTTTTAATCACCGTTGTGGTTTTCACTATTGTTAAAATATATGGGGGATTGGGTTACAATGCATACATCCTCAGATTTCTGGAGAAAGGCAAAGTCAAAATGCACAATTCATAATTATTTGATTATAAGCATAATTTTAATATAAACAGATTATCAGGATTATACAGATATAACACTGATTTAAGAATTCTTTGGAAGTGCTTTGGAAAACATATATGGCATTTCTTATTTAATTTTCATCCAAACAAATCAAACTTGTTGCTTAATTTTCTGTGGCACTCAGCTGGACTTTTAAGAACAATATTCAGTAAGTGGTTGAAAGCTTCCTAGCATAACATTGGAGTGGTTGTAGATAATGCATTTAGACTTGTCACACTTATGCAAATATGATAGTTAAGAAAGGCCAGCATTTATCTGTAGTTTATTTTCTGCAGAAAGTTATACGAAATACAAGCCTCAATGTCTTCTGGAAGATAGTGGAAGAGGAGGATGGAAATTAACTATAGTGGACAAGAGAAAGAAATCAAAAGGGAGCAGCAAGAACACAGTTGCCATGTGTGGATTTTTCTTTACTTTTGTGTGTGCAAAATGAGCAGAATGATATTTTATGGAAATATAAATGAAATAAATAACTACCTCTTCCAAACGGAAGGCATACTGAGTATGATAAATCTGATTTTAATTAAATAATTTATATTTTAACGTATTCAAAAGTGTGTGTATCTATTTCTATATATTTAGCTGCATGAGAGCCTTATTAAAAAAATCAAATTCTTAAGGCAACATAGGAGTATTAAATGTTTGCTTCATATATATACTGTGTACCTTTTTTTAATGAAAATTTTTAATGAAAATTTTTATCAATGTCATCATCAAAGTAAACAAACCCGCATGCTGATTACGTCATGGCTCTAAGCAGAAGTGATGTGTTGGCCTAAGCCCATCAAGATAAGCATGAGTAACCCTAGCAGCCCTATTTTCAGATAAGGCGTATTGAACCTAACCCCATCAAGAAAGATGTGGCAGTC